CACGCTTGACGAAAATAATGAAAGGGGAGATATCCCCTTCGTCATAGGTTATGTTGAGGTTATTATCCGCGCCGTCCCGCGTGCGCGGGGAATTCAGCGCGACCTTCGCAGGGGGCTCCCCCGCAGTTGACATACTATCGCGTGGGCGCTTCCCGGAGGAAGGCCCCACGTTCTCAGATGAAGTCGATCCCGACGAGGGCGCGACCTCGGAAGGAGGAGCGTCCGCCGAAGGGGAAGAAGTAGAGCACTTCCGCGTAAGAGAAGGATGCGAATCCTCTAAGGATACCGCACCGTCAACGTCGTCGTCGATGTCTATATGATTATTATCCTCGGCATCGTGTAACGAGGAGATGTCTGAGTTTTGCGAAGAGTTAACCTTAACAGGAGATCGCGATCGAGAGCGATGCCGGGATGGCGAGGGCGGAGACTCGTCGGGAGGAAGGGCGCGATCGCAAGAGGGTCGCGAGGATTTCCCCTTCTTCGCTCTTTTTTTGTTTTGTTTACCGGGTTCTATGTTATGCGCGATAGCCGATGATATCGACGAGGATGGCGGTTTCTTGAGATAAGACGATGGGGGTGGCATAACCTTAGCACCGGTAACAGGTCTGAGATCACTGTCATTGTCGTTGTACACGTCTAAAAAACGAGTTGAAGTCCTCAAGGGAGGCAGAAAGGCGCTTGTTGACCGCGCTCGAGCCACCGCCGGGATCCGGCGGGGCGAGGGAGCCGGCCTGCATTGCAGGACCGGTACACCCGATAGTCTCGAATTTACGAAAAACAGGCAGATCCGAGGGTACTCACGATGTGAGGAGAGAGAGAGCTCTCTCAGGGAAGTCCTGGAACGCTGGGAAGGCGAACCAAAGCCAGAGAAGCAGCACAAGGAACGAAGCGAAGCAGGCGCAAGGAGGTCCGCACCGTTCGGTTGTTCGCGCGCGAATGATGTGATCAACCACATATGACGGCTGTGATAATCACCGATGGCAACATTGTCACATATATGATGTGACGTGCACGCGGCGCATTATTATTATAATTAATTCAAATTAAAATGAAATTTAATTAATAAAATGAATTAATATAAAATATTAATTATAATTAAAATGAAATATCGAGATTGTCGCTGAAGATCGAGGTATTTACCGCGTTGAGGAAGAGGGTGTATAGATATTCAGGAATTAAGCGTCTAGGTGTTCGCCATTGAGGAAATGAGTGTCTAGGTGATCGCCGTCGAGGAAGTGGGCGTCTAGGTGTTCGCCATTGAGGAAATGAGTGTCTAGGTGATCGCCGTCGAGGAAGTGGGCGTCTAGGTGTTCGCCGTCGAAGAAGTGAGTGTCTGGGTGCTCGCTGGCGAAGAAATAAGTGTCTAGGTGTTGTCTACATGTTCGCCATCGAGGAAGTTGGTGTCTAGGTGTTTACCATCGAGGAAATGAGTGTCTAGGTGATCGCCGTCGAGGAAATGGGTGTCTAGGTGTTCGCTATTGAAGAAATGGGTGTCTAGGTATTTGTCGTCGAAGAAATGGATGTCTACATGTTCGCCGTCGAGGAAATGGGTGTCTAGGTGTTCGCTGTTGATGAAGTGGGTGTCTAGGTATTCGCCTTCGAGGAAGTGGCTGTCAAGGTGTTCGCCTTCAAGAAAGTGGGTATCTAGGTGTTTGTCTTCGAGGAAATGGGTGTCTAGGTGTTCGCCTCTCATTTTGACAGATTTGACTCTAGATAGCAAGAGGTAAATGTGGCATTTAGTATTAACCGTTAAACTATTCAGGTTAGAATCTGTCACATCGATGGAACAGAGGAACACGTATGAACACGTGAGGCTAGAATAAATATTCTCTGCTGTTCAATTAATATTATCTTATAAAATTTGTAATTCAATTAATACATGATCGTATACAAACTTACCTTTTTAAAAAAAGGTAAAAAAAGCGCTAAGCGTGTATGTTTCTCGTGTAGAACCACCATTTGGGCCGGTTTCACCAACGCCAATTATTTAATCTGCCGTGGAACTGATGACTAATCGCGTTTGCTGTTTAATAGAATTGAGCACTTACGGTTGACAGTGAATCACCGATTTGGATTAATCGAGTTGATGTTTTTTCTTCAAGGATATTCTTATAATGATATGTATCATTTCTATAAAAGATTTGATATCACCAAAACTGGCGCCAAGTTAAATTCCATGTAATTCGTGCGGATACCAAATTATATAAATAATATTAACTTTAATGATATCACTCCTATAAAAGATTTGATATCAAGAACTGGCGCAAAGTTAAATCCTATTTCTCTCTCTCTCTTTATACCATGTCAAATTATTAATCTTATGATATGTATCATTTGTATAAAAGAATTGACAACTGTGGCGCCAAGTTAAATTCGACTATCAAAATGAAAAATAAAACACAAGTGATACTATCTTTATTATTTACTTAATCCAAATGGTACTATCTTTAATTTTTATGCAACGAAACCTAAGTATACGTATACTTATTGAAGAATCTTCCTATTCCAATCCAAATGGTTTAAATTCTTCTTAAATGAAATTATTATATCACATTTCATTCAAAGACATTTCCTCTTCCAACTAAAGTAGTGGTTATTTAATTTTCCTTCAAAACATCATACAAAATATTATCACAAAATTGCGTTACCTTGCTCAATTTAAGTGTTATCACAAAAAATTAAAGAATTTACCGTATAAAATGAAAAAATTTAATTTAAATAGAAAAATTTTTCATATAAAAACACTTTGCGCTGCTA